CGGCGGCATGGCTAATATGGCGCTGGGGCGTCTCGGCACCCTGGCACCCAGCACCCTGGTACCCTGGCACACAGCACTCTGGCACCCCGGCACCATGGCATCCTGGCATCCAGGACCCTGGCACCCTGGCACCCAGCACCCCGGCACCCTAGCATCCAGCACCCCAGCACCCAGGTGGCACCGCCGCCAGCGGGGCCAGAGCTCAGCCCCGAAACGGGGTGGGAGATCTCCATACAGAAGAGACAGAGCAGTGGGATGAAGGAAGGAGCAAGGCAAGAGCAGGCAGCGAGTCTGGCAGCGCACGGGCAGTGGCGCTCTGGCCCCAGGCTCCAGGGAAAACTGCAGCCCAAGCCCTCTGGGAAGCGGATCTCCAGGCGTCGAGGCCGCGCATCCCGGCTTGCCGCCACGCTTCTCCCGGCCCCGAGCATCCTCCTTGGGATGAGACTCGCGTGGCAAAGGTGCTCCGGCTCCTCCGACATCACGGTGCTTTGGGAATCAGGAATACGCCTGGGGCGAGGTTTTCCCACGCTGACTCACGCTGCCGAGCCGCTCGCTTGCTCGCCTGGAGCTGGCGGCGACGAGCAAGCCTCGGGGACGGGGTCCGGTCCTCTCCCCTCTGTCTCTCCCGATCCCGCGGGAGCATCCCGGGTCCCCGTGCCGCCGCTGCACTGCTCCCTCCCCGAGGGCTCCCCCCCGATTTGCTGGGATCACATCCAAAAGCCTCTGAAAGTGATATTAAAACAGCAGCAAAACAGTTTCCCTTCAACAAAGTAAATATTTAATGAATAAAATTGACATTGATGCATTTTTAATATTGGCACAATTAAATCCGCCAGCTGATTAAGTATTAATAACTCTTAATAAGTACAATCAGCGTGCCTGGGAGGAGAGGGAGCACAGCAGCGGGGCTGGGGGACGCCGAGGGATGGGGTCCCTTGCCCGCCTTGTTGGCGACAAGATGCTGGGGACATCTGCGCTCGCAGGGAGCAAGGAGAGATCCCCCCGGTTAAATATCAGCCCCGCTGCGGGTGGAGAGGGGAGGTCAGCATAGCGGCTCGCGTCAGTCCCGGTGCCATTTCCAGTGTTTACCATCCATAATCAGGTTGGCTTCCTCCTCTCTGCTCCTTTTTCCCCCTTTTTGTTTTCCCTGCAGGTGACGATGTGGATGGTGCCTGGGCGTTCCAGAGAAGTTCGGAAGGCTGGAGCAGGAGCGATCCCGCTCCGAAGGCTCGCCAGGAGGAAGGATGCCTTTCGAATTAGAGGAGTGTCCACAATTAAATTGCGTGTCTGGGCCGCAGCGGTTGAAGCCCACGCTGGAGGAAGCGCTGAGGGGCCCGGCAAGGTGCGAATCCCATTGTTTGGGGCACACAAACAGCTTCACAGGCTCCTGGAGACATCTCGAAGGCTGCGGTGCTGAGAACGAAGGAGTCCAGGTGGCCGCCCCATGGCCAAAGGGCACCGACGCAGCATCATCCGCAAGCACCAGGTTTCAGCTTCCCAGAAAGTCCCAGCGAAGCGGGCGCTGCCCGTGGCACAGGGGCTCAGCGACAGCGTGCGGAGGAGCGCAAGATCCCGTCCGGGCACAGCGACAGCGTGCGGAGGAGCGCAAGATCCCGTCCGGGTGACATCCAGGGTGCCCTGACCCCGCTCCGGCACAGCGGACCCCCAGCTCACAGGTGGGGGGTTCTGTAAAGACTTTAGCGGTGCACATGTGAGCCCCTCGGTGCGCCGCTGCTCGGGGTGCCGGGTGCTCTGCACCCCGTGCCAGGGTGCTGGTCAGGCCAGCAGCGACCGTGCGGAGGAGCGCAAGATCCCGTCCGGGTGACATCCAGGGTGCCCTGACCCCGCTCCGGCACAGCGGACCCCCAGCTCACAGGTGGGGGGTTCTGTAAAGACTTTAGCGGTGCACATGTGAGCCCCTCGGTGCGCCGCTGCTCGGGGTGCCGGGTGCTCTGCACCCCGTGCCAGGGTGCTGGTCAGGCCAGCAGCGACCCCAGTCCTGCCAGGTCACAGCGGCCTGGGGCACAGCGCAGGCAGGGGGCCGGGCAGGTGGGTGCCTGTATCCCAGCTGGGTGCCTCCATCCCAGGGGTGCTCCAACTCACGTAGGTGCCCAAACCTCACGTAGGTGCCCTGATGCCAGACAGGTGCCCCCAACCCAGGTGGGTGCCCTAAACACTGCTGGGGTGCTCCCAGCCCTGGGGTGCTCTGACCCCAGGGGTGCCCCCGAGCCGGACGGTGCCTCCCCTAACTCCAGGTGGGTGCCCCTGCCTCCGGTGGGTGTCCCCAGCCCAGGGGTGCGTCCACCTTAGATGGGTGCCTCTGCCTCAGGGGTACCCCAATCTTAGCAGGGCCGCATACCAGGATGCCCCATACCGGGGTGCCCCCACCTCAGGGGTGCCCCATACCGGGGTGCCCTCACCTCAGGTGTACCTTCACATCAGAGGTGCCCCATATTGGGGTGCCCCATACTGAGGGTGACACATACTGGGTTACCTCTACCTCAGGGGTGCTCCCACCTCAGGGGTGCACCATACTGGGGTACCTCCACCTCAGGGGTACCCCATACCAGGGTGCCCCACCTCAGGCGTACCTCCACCTCAGGGTGCTCCACCTCAAGGGTGCCCCCAACTCCGGGGTACCTTCACGCCAGGGGTATCCCCGCCTCAGGGGTACCCGCGCCTCGGGCTGTCCCACCTCAGGACGCACCGCCTGGTCGCGCCCCGCCGGCGGGCGCGGAGCCCCCCGTACCTTTGTGCATGCCGGTGAAGCGATCCTTGAGGACGGTGAGCTCGTAGATGCGGCCGAACTCCTCGAAGAGCGGCTTGAGGTCGCTCTCCTCCAGGTTACGCGGGATCTGCCCCACGAAGAGCTTGATGGCGTCGTGATCCTTCATGGCGATGGCGCCGGGCGGGCGGCTCAGCCCGTTCACCCGGCCGCTGTTCGCGGTGCTGAACGCCGCCCCCGCCTCCGCCGCCGCC